CGCCTTCCCCAAGCGTAGACATCTCGCACGCTCTTCTCCCCCACTGCAGCACGGCTCCGCTCGCGACGCGGCGGCGGCCGAGCCTCCCGACCAGGAGACGATAAATCGGGGAGAAGAGAGGAGAAATACCCCAAGCTAAATCGCTCCACGAAGCTCAGGTTAGCAGCCCCCCCGTCCCCTTCCGCGATCTACACAAGCAAGCTTGAAGAACTCGGATCTCGCTTTATTCCTCAAGTAGATTATTCCTCGCAAGTCGGAGCGATTATTTCGCCGATCCGCAGTGAAAAGAAATTAGCATAACCCTTTTGAAGTAGTAGAAACTCGAACTGTTCTGGGAGTTTGGGTTGGTCCGAGGGAACAAATGGTAAAGAAATCAAAGGAATCGACTTTGTTTCCATTTCTGCCGCTGATACTCTGGCTGATGAATTGCCAGAGCAGCCATACATACGACCATCAGACCTGAGAGCGTTACCGGAGTCTCATTTCTTGGATTGGGCTGGATTCAAGAAGTATAGTAGTAGTAGCTTGTCAAATGCCCAAATGTTGTACTACCTTCGGGGTTATTAGCCCCACCTCGTATTTTGTGTCAAATTTTGATTGTAAATTTAGTTAATAACATATAAGTTTTATGTAGTAAAAATAATATCATTCGTAACTTATTCCGAATACGAATTTAGTGATATAAATTTTATAATATTCAACTTAAATTTTGCTAGTTAAATCCATGGTCAAAATTTGGCACAAAATACGAAAGGGACTTGTAAACCCGGACGGAGGTAGTACAACACTGTTATGCCCCTACCCCGGGTCACTGTCATCTTTAGTGACAATGTCAGTGCGGTCTACATGTCGATGAACCCGGTTCAGGAACGGTTGCTATGCTGAACCGGGTTCGGACCATGCTTAAGTTGTTGCAGAAGATGACAATGGCCCCGGGGTAGGTGGTGATGCAGTTCTGAGATGAGTTGATGAAGCCAGTTGGTTTCGGCAATGGCGTTGACGATGGCTAGGTTCTTGGCTTCAGCTCTCGGTCAAGAACCACTTCGTCCGCGATTGCGTTGCCCTTGGACACATTCGTGCGCTTCACATGCCTTCCTCCTGACAGTTCACCAACATATTTACCAATGGATGGCTGCCCCCCTTGTTCTCGGACTTTCGGTCCAGCCTCAACATCTGAAAATCTTCCATTGTGTCTATGGGGGAGTGTTAGGATATTCTGTTATCCCTTCCCATATTTAGCTCCTGCGTAATTAGCGACATCAGGCCATTATGGAGAAAAATTGTAACTGGAATTAATTCCCTGTACGTCTTGTGCAATCACTCTATATATGAGATAACATGAAAGTCATGATTGTGGCATGTATATATTCTCAAACTTTCAGGCACTAGTGACTTCGCTGATGGGTATACAAAACATTTTTTCCGCATTGGCTATGCGGCGATGTTAATGAATGAAGATGCAACACTGAATTGGTTGTGTTGCACTGTATACACATAGTTACATAAACACTGAGATGTCCTGGTTCCAACAGTTCAATTGACTCGGTCGTCTTTTGCTTTTTGAGCTTCTACTTGCAATACACCCAGTTCCTAGTTACCCAGATTACTCAGTCACATGATAAGCAGCAGACCTTAGTAATTCATACCTTTAATTCCCCTGCAGATATAAACTTGAAGTCGCCTCCAGCCTCCTGCTTCGCCATAAAGTATTGTTCCTTCTCTCAGTTGCACCATCTATAACTTAATCTTTCCTATGATTACAAACGTTGGTGTGCTGCATTTCTGTTTTGTGATCATTTGCTATATACTGCTTCAGTGCGGGAGAAGGATGCCTGCTGGGAGTACGGCGACAAGCTGGACGGGAACAGGGTCCGGTGCAGATTCTGCCAGAAGGTTATCAATGGCGGAATAAGCAGGTTCAAGTTTCATCTGTCTCAAATTCCGAGCAAAGGCGTCAATCCTTGCGTCAGGGTGACGGATGATGTCAGGGAAAAGGTGATCGCTCTCATAGAAGCCAAGGAATCACACAGGGAGCTCGAGCTTCTCAAGAGGAAACGTGTTGCTGAACTGTCGGTGCTTCCAAAAAGAACACGGGAACTTCCATCTCAGCCTTCCTCCCCAGGGCTGGCTACTTCGCCTGCTATTATTCCTGCATTCGAGCCGAGTCAGCTCCTTGGCCTGGAAATGTCTGCTCCAGTACTTAGACTATCTGGTGCTGCCACCAAGCCCCGTCCGGCTTCAGGATTGGAAGTGGAACGGTGCATTGCTGAATTCTTTTTTGAGAATAAGTTGGATTATAGTATTGCAGACTCCATTTCATATAGGCATATGATGGACACACTTGTTGGGCAGGAATTCCAAGGGCCATCAGCTGATGTTTTGAGAACAAAATGGGTTCAAAAGCTCAAGTCAGAGGTTTTGCAGAGAACACAAGAGATAAAAAAGGATTGGGTGACTACAGGCTGTACTATATTAGCCGATTCGTGGACTGACAACAAATTGAAAGCCCTGATCAACTTCTCTGTCTCTTCTCCACTAGGGACATTCTTCCTCAAAACAGTAGATGCTTCTCCACACATAAAAAATCACAGAGGGATGTATGAGCTCTTTGATGAAGTGATTCAGGAAGTTGGTCCAGATAATGTTGTTCAGATTATTAGTGATAGGAACATAAACTACGGCAATATTGATAAACTCATCATGCAGAACTACAACACCATTTTCTGGTCTCCCTGCACTTCGTTTTGTGTAAACTCAATGTTGGATGACTTTTCCAAGATTGATTGGGTTAACCAATGCATATGTCAAGCACAAACAATCACACGATTTGTCTACAACAACAACTGGGTTCTTGATCTTATGAGGAGGTGTATGGCAGGGCAGGAGCTTGTTTGCTCAGGGATTACAAAATCTGTTTCAGATTTCCTCACTCTGCAGTCACTGTTGAAGCACAGATCAAAGCTGAAGCAAATGTTTCACAGCTCTGAGTATGTATCTTCTCCATATGCAAATAGATCTCTAAGTATTTCCTGTGTTGAGATCCTCAGTGACGATGAGTTTTGGCGAGCAGTCGAAGAGATAGCGGCTGTTTCAGAACCTCTACTGAGGGTCATGAGGGATGTCTCAGGAGGCAAGGCTGCCATTGGTTATATATACGAGTCTATGACAAAGGTGATGGATTCTATTAGAACATACTACATAATGGATGAAGGCAAATGCAAGACATTTCTGGATATTGTGGAGCAGAAATGGCTGGTGGAGCTGCATTCGCCTCTTCATTCAGCAGCTGCTTTTCTGAACCCAAGCATCCAGTATAATCCAGAAGTCAAATTTTTCACTACTATCAAGGAGGAGTTCTACCATGTCCTGGATAAAGTGCTTACAGTCCCAGACCAAAGGCAGGGTATCACTTCGGAACTGCATGCTTTCCGCAAGGCACAAGGAATGTTCGCCTCTAACATTGCTAAAGAGGCCCGCAACAACACCTCCCCAGGTTTCTCCCTTTTGCACTGAAATTTTGTACTTTAAATATTTCCTGAGTGCTTCTGTGTTTTGAGCCCCTCTAAGCACTACTCCCTCCGTTCCAAATTACTCGTCGTGGTTTTTAGTTCAAAACTAAAAACCACGACGAGTAATTTGGAACGGAGGGAGTAGATATATTGAGACTTATTTGTCGCACTCCATAATCGTAGTTTCAGTTTAGTGATATTTGTTGAAGTTGCGTGCAAAGTCATCTTATCTATCTTCCATGCACAATCACGACGCTCTGTTCCATTTCCCTTAATCTGGATTTATTCCAATGACCTTTTTGCTTCTCAGGGATGTGGTGGGAACAATATGGCGATTCAGCGCCAGCATTACAACACTGTGCCGTCAGAATAGTGAGCCAGGTCTGCAGCACCCTGACCTTCCAAAGGGACTGGACCATCATCCTCCAGAGCCACTCCGAGAAGCGCAACAAGTTGAACAAGGAGGCGCTGGCCGACCAAGCCTATGTGCACTACAATCTCACGCTCCACTCCGACTCCAAAACGACGGCGAAGAAGAAAGGGGAGGGCGATCCGATCGCGTTGGACGACATCGACATGACCTCGCCGTGGGTGGAGGATTCGGACGGTCCGAGCTTGACCCAGTGGCTCGACAGGTTCCCGTCGGCCCTGGATGGTGGGGACTTGAACACCAGGCAGTTTGGTGGATCCATCTTTGGCACCAACGATCTTTTCGGCTTATGACAGACAGTTGTCGGATCCTGCTGTTCAAGTGCTCACTGTATTTTTTTGATAGTTGAAGGGGCAGTGTTCGCTGCATGTGTTCTGATCTTTATTTGGTTGGCCTTTAGTGGACTACGTAGATTGTAGATTCATGTCAAGGTGAATCGTACCTGTAACTTGTTGCTCATGTTTAGGCTTTAACAGAAGAAACTGGAGTAGAGTAGGGGCCATGATAGTGAAATTTTTGGTGTCCATTTCATTTTCCCGTGACTACGAATGATGTTCTGCCGACAATTCTGTGAAACCTGAGAATCAGAGCATATACCATGGAACTGGAATTCTGACAAAAATATCATAGGGAAGATATTTTGTGAACAATTACGGCGTGCATTCATGAAAACAAAATTCATAAGATAACCACGGAAAGGCGGTAGGTTGAACCAACCACGCAGGTGAGGCCACTGGTCTTTGTCGACGTGCACTATCCGCTCATCAATGTCTCGAGAAATAATTCCAAGTCGGATGACGACGATGGCGTGATAGATCATATCCGACTACGTCTTGATCTTATCCTCTCCCGACAATAAAGAAGACAACTAAATCAGTTGTTTGTTAGAGAAAAAGAAAACATCGCCATCTCTGCCTCTCAATAAAAATGGCATAAATTAAAGGCAAGGCAAGGCAAGGCAAGCAGATCGCACTGAAGGCAGTAGTGCAGCAGACCAGTTCTACACTTCCAACGCAGAAACAAAATCCTCCAGGATCATCTACAGCATAGGGAGCGAGGAGATGGAGGGGAGCAGCAGCCGGACGCCGGAGATAACCATCGTCCCGGCGCCTAGGCCGGCGGCGGGCGGTGGCGGTGGCGGTGGCGCCGTCGAGGCGGTGAAGGCGGCGAGCAAGGAGCCCATCAGCCCGGGCTCGCCTTCCCCGGCCAGCAGGGAGCGCCCCGGCGCCGTCTCCCTGCCCGGGTGGAAGCTCGACTCCCTCTGCAAGGAGTCCAGCTCGCCGCCGGCCATGATGGCGCGCTTCCCCTATTTCTGAAGCCACGCGGGCATCTTTGCCATCCTTTGCTAGTACTGTAGTATTTTCCGTCTGGTATATGTAAGTTTGCAGCGGCAGTTTTGTTGCTCGTTCCTTCCGGCGATGTCATGTAGAACTCGTATCGTGGTTGTAATCGTTCTCGCAAGAGTTCTGGCGTGCCTTTCTGGTTGCTTTGAACTTGATCATGCACGTGTATATTTTGGTCTCGGAGTTTGTGTATGATCATGTGAACTTTAATCCTCCAAATAATGTATAGATATAACAATAAAAACGTGAATACTGTTTTTTTAGAGAAAAAGCATACACTTGACTTGATGAAGAAGGTCAACATGTAGAATTCACCCGTACATCCAACAGTCTTAACACCGGACCACACATTAGTTACCAAGTTTAGACACCGCACATGCAGCAAAAACACAATGAGATGCCCTGCACAAAAGAAGCATCCAAGAGAAAGCCATAACTAGACCCTAGGTCGGAGAAGCTAGATCCTGCTGAGAAAGAGAGAACGCCATGGCACGAACGCGCCAGGTCAGCAGCTCCGTATCCTCTAGGTCACCCTCCTTGGTCACTGATTTCCATTGCTGTAGAAAGAATAATGATTTGAAGTTTTGAACAGACAGTAAACTGGTTTCCAGTAGTCCATAAGACCCAACATGTAGTAAAAAAATCGAACCAAAATAAACGCCTAATTTACTCCCTAATTTGCCTCAACAAAGACCTAGTCAGCAATCGGTGCTCGTTGAAAGAAGTGGGCTCCCATGTCACATACGACCAAACGCAACACCAGAACATGATGGCTAAGTCACATTGAGGAGTCCGCCGGAGCATCACACAAAACACAAAGATCAAAATCAGGGCCATTACACTTACGAATTTGGCCCACCGCTAACAGACGAGCACAAATAGCTTGCCACATGAAGGTTTTAATTTTGAGAGGAACTCTAGGACGCCACACATTTCTGAACTTGGTAGTAGCAGAACCCTCTATCAATCTGGAATAAAGAGATTTAACTATAAAACAACTAGAAGCAGTATGAGGCTGGATCACCGAATCTGCCGACTCTGAGAGCGTGGGAGAGATGGTAGCAAGACAGTGCCAGTTCTCCAACTCTTCAGGAGAGAGCACACGTTGAAGACCCATATCCCAATTATTAAGGAAAAGTTTTGAGATGAAACTATTAGAATAGTAAGAAAACAGAACAGAGAAAGAAGAGCATAAAGATGAGCCACCATGCCACTAATCAAGCCAAAAACGAAGACTCGCCATTGCCGACAACAAATGTGGAGGATGGATAGGGAAAGAGGTGTTGTGGGTTGAGGACGACGATGGAACAACGATGACGATAGAGCTACAGTGGCAGCTATGTGGACAAGGGAGAAAAGAGAAGAGAAACGTGATAGGTCGGGCAAGGACGAGGACGTCTTTTAAGAGATTTGGCCCGGGCCCCTGCCATTAAGTCTGATGTAATGAACACATTCAAGCGTCTCATATCTATCCTACATATGAGCTAGGTCTTGGGGGTGTCAGTCAGTCTAGACGTTTGGACTGAGTATGTCAGATTTGATTAGGTGACAATTTTTTGTCCAGACACTGGCCAGTCATTGTTTGGGATGGACAAAAGCTCCTTTGTAGATGCTTTAAGGGTATCTCCAACGGTAACCCGCAAATTTCCTCCCGCGTCCGTCCGCGGAAGGGAGAACCAGTCCGTGAACATGGATGCGGAAGGACGCCATTCAACCGTAGCCGCATACATCCGACCTGCCTCATTTTTTTAACTCCGCACGATCAAATAGCCTCGTACAAAGGGTACAGACATTCAAATAGCTGCATGCAACAATAGTTTAAATTAAAAAAATCAAATATTATATCCCAACATTGTTTTCCCCTTTAAGCGTGCCCACTGATGTTCAATCAGATCTTCCTTCAGCTGCTCGTGAGTTGGTCGATGCCGAATTTGTTGATGCATTTGAATAAACTCTTCAAATATGGTCGGATTCTTGTCTGGAAGTTGGATAGGATCACCGATGTTCTGAAATTCTAGAGCTGCGGCAGCATCGTCACCCTCATCTTTGACGATCATGTTGTGCATGATCACACAACATGTCATCACCTCCCACAAGGTCTCTGGATCCCATTGTTTAGCAGGTCCACAAACAATTGTAAAAACATGCCTACAGAGAACTCCAAATGCCCTCTCGACATCCTTTCTAGCTGCTTCTTATCTTTGGGCAAAGTGAGCCCTTTTTTTACCAATTGGGTTAGAGATGGTGCTGACAAAGATAGTCCACGGAGGATAGATACCGCAAACCAGATAGTAACCCATGTTGTACTCATGTCCATTGACACTATAGTGGCAAGGAGGAGCTTTTCCTTTAGCCAACCTCGCAAACAACGGTGATAATTGCAGCACATTGATGTCATTGTGAGACGTGGGCATGCCAAAGAAAGCATGCCAAATCCAAAGATTTAACTATAATAGCAGAACCCTCTATCAATCTGGAATAAAGAGATTTAACTATAAAACAACTAGAAGCAGTATGAGGCCGGATCACCGAATCTGCCGACTCTGAGAGCGTGGGAGAGATGGTAGCAAGACAGTGCCAGTTCTCCAACTCTTCAGGAGAGAGCACACGTTGAAGACCCATATCCCAATTATTAAGGAAACGTTTTGAGATGAAACTATTAGAACAGTAAGAAACACAGAACAGAGAAAGAAGAGCATAAAGATGAGCCACCATGCCACTAATCAAGCCAAAAACGAAGACTCACCATTGCCGACAACAAATGTGGAGGATGGATAGGGAAAGAGGTGTTGTGGGTTGAGGACGACGATGGAACAACGATGGCGACAGAGCTACAGTGGCAGCTATGCGGACAAGGGAGAAAAGAGAAGAGAAACGTGATAGGTCGGGCAAGGACGAGGACGTCTTTTAAGAGATTTGGCCCGGGCCCTGCCATTAAGTCTGATGTAATGAACACATTCAAGCGTCTCATATCTATCCTACATATGAGCTAGGTCTTGGGGGTGTCAGTCAGTCTAGACGTTTGGACTGAGTATGTCAGATTTGATTAGGTGACAATTTTTTGTCCAGACACTGGCCAGTCATTGTTTGGGATGGACAAAAGCTCCTTTGTAGATGCTTTAAGGGTATCTCCAACGATAACCCGCAAATTTCCTCCCGCGTCCGTCCGCGGAAGGGAGAACCAGTCCGTGAACATGGATGCGGAAGGACGCCATTCAACCGTAGCCGCATACATCCGACCTGCCTCATTTTTTTAACTCCGCACGATCAAATAGCCTCGTACAAAGGGTACAGACATTCAAATAGCTGCATGCAACAATAGTTCAAATTAAAAAAATCAAATATTATATCCCAACATTGTTTTCCCCTTTAAGCGTGCCCACTGATGTTCAATCAGATCTTCCTTCAGCTGCTCGTGAGTTGGTCGATGCCGAATTTGTTGATGCATTTGAATAAACTCTTCAAATGTGGTCGGATTCTTGTCTGGAAGTTGGATAGGATCACCGATGTTCTGAAATTCTAGAGCTGCGGCAGCATCGTCACCCTCATCTTTGACGATCATGTTGTGCATGATCACACAACATGTCATCACCTCCCACAAGGTCTATGGATCCCATTGTTTAGCAGGTCCACAAACAATTGTAAAAACATGCCTACAGAGAACTCCAAATGCCCTCTCGACATCCTTTCTAGCTGCTTCTTATCTTTGGGCAAAGTGAGCCCTTTTTTTACCAATTGGGTTAGAGATGGTGCTGACAAAGATAGTCCACGGAGGATAGATACCGCAAACCAGATAGTAACCCATGTTGTACTCATGTCCATTGACACTATAGTGGCAAGGAGGAGCTTTTCCTTTAGCCAACCTCGCAAACAACGGTGATAATTGCAGCACATTGATGTCATTGTGAGACGTGGGCATGCCAAAGAAAGCATGCCAAATCCAAAGATCCTATGATGCAACTGCTTCAAGAATGATGGTGGACTTCTTAATATGACCCTGATATTGCCCTTGTAAAGCCTTCGGGCAGTTTCTTACATTTCCAGTGCACGCAGTCAAGAGATCCAAGCAAACCTGGCCATCCTCTTGCTTCCGAGATTGCTAAGGTCCTCTCAGTGTGTGCTACAGTTGGTTCTCTCACTGAGACTCTCACGTACTGAGGTCCGAACACCTCGACCATGGCAGTTACAAACCTAACAATGGCATCTCCGAAATGTGCTCTCAGACATCCGTATGTACTCGTCCCATGAATCAGCGGTTGTGCCATATGCAAGCATCCGAAGTGTGGACGTGCACTTCTGGTAACCAGAGAATCCAATCGTTCCCACGACATCCTTCTTTAGGATGAAGCAGTCATCATAAGACCAGACGCCATGATACAAACGATCGAAAACAGTCTTAGGCATCCGAAAAACGCTGGCGAAAATGGTCAGCGACGAGTGCATCTGGGGCAAAGTAGTCGGCTATCAGTGTCAAATGGTCGCGCGCCCTGTTGCGGTCGAGCATTCGATGACCCTTGATCGAGCCCTTGAAATTGAGAACATGTTCCTCCACATGCCCCGTGTCTTCAAGGACCTCCTGCATCATCGCCGTCTCATCGGAGTACTCTCGTCGGACGACTCAACACACTGCTCATATATGTACCCCAAACCGGAATCCATTGCTAGAAAGAAGAAGAGAAAATTGTTTTTAGCTCCGGCGATTCATCGAACAGTTGTCGGGCATGATGAATATACCAGTAGCGGATGGTACCTGGCGGGGCGGTCGAAGGATAGGGGTTGAACGACGACGGAGGAGAAGCGAGGTGGAGCCCCGCTGGAGCGCTGGAGGTGACGGAGACATGGAGTTTCGGCAGGGGTGTGACGTGACGGCTGGGGTGGTGGAGCGGCGTCGAAGGCAAGAGATAAAGAAGGAAAAGAAAAAATGAGAAGGATGGAGGCGCAGGGTCCGAAAAGGATTTTGGGTGGACCGAGGA